ATAGTTAGCAATGAAAGGAGTAATTGATGAATATGGGATGTGGATCCATGGCCATCAATTTTTTTTCCTTTATGGAGAATTTTCAAATCTAAATTAATTTACTTGAGAAAATCAAAATTGTAAATATGTATAATTTTTAATTTCAAAACAGCTGAACTGACTTTGTAATAATAATACAGTACATTTATATGATACAACTAAAAAAGATGTAAAAATAATGTATTCAGATATTTTACCATACAAACTCTTCCTTAGTTTTCATTTCATAAATATAATGGTATTAATATGACAATAATTAATGAGAAGCTAATAAAATGTTTCAGTGTTCAAGGTTTTATTATAGTGTTCGGCGATTTTCGTCCAAGATATACCTCTCTCTTTTGAATCTGGTCAGTACTTGTGAGGCTCTTCAACCAGTACTTCTCTGAGAAGCATAGTTTCGTGTTTCCTTTCCAAATAAAAAGTTCTCGTTTCGCTATCGCTACGAATTGAAGAAAGTCGGGAAAGTGTCAACCACATCACAACAATTCACTGTTTATATCCCTCATGTATGGTTAAAATTCAAAGGGTGAAAGTGCTTTTTAAGGCTCTCATTTTTCAATTTAAATTTATTCGACTGGCGATATGTTGTTTACGTGTGTAGACCTCAGAATTTCGTGAAAATAGGTCGACCAAAAAGTATCAAATACGAATGAAATCAGGGTTTGTAATAACATTCAATTCGATAAAACCTCTGTATACGGCTTTAAGTTTGCTTTTGCTGACTTAGAAAAAGACTAGGGTAAGTTTAAAATACAAAATACTCACCTTTCGAAACTCGTTCTCTAGAGGACGACTTCTGGTCAAAATCTCGTTGTCGACGAGCGGCGGACGACGAGTTTCCCGCTTCCGTGACAGTGTCACGCAGAGCTACGCATGCGCAATGTGAGCACGCTAGTCAACTCGTACTCGTACTCGTTCTCGTACTCGAATCTAAAGCTCTCTAGTATTTCTAACAATTCGTCGGTATGCAAATTCCTGGGTGGAAAGACACCGTCAGTGTAGCGTCTTCTTGCTGAACAGCACTGGTGGCAACACAATAATTCAGCTGACCTTTTGCTCCTCGATTAGTCAGGGGCTTTGACTTTGGAGCACGCCACTAACTTATGATCTACTGTAAACAATTTTTTTAGTGGCGAATCAAAGAGCTAAACTTACCCCTTCAATATGATCCAGCGGCATATTTGCCAACGCCACATGGCGTTTTTCTCGCGTGATGACAATGGTGAACTTTGCTTTCATGTTAGGTTCGTCAAAACAAGGAAAGGCATTCCTCGCGTCGGTTGCTTCGAACTGAGTGGTGGCAAGATATCTACATGCAGCGAAATAGATAATAAAAGATTACTTTTCGTAGCTATCATTATCATTTTTCTTCGTTGTTTTCTGTGCAGACGAAGCACGCGGGAACCCGCAAAGGCAGGCTGCCTGGAACAAGAACTTTGTGAAAACAGTTGTTTATCATGACTCCGCAGACAGGGTACATTTTCTTCGCTTTGAGCGGGTAAATCTGCAATTCTCAGCCTTCGTCAGAGCGAATGACGAAGGGCTAACGCTTGAAAGTATCAGTCCGCCGCTGTCCGCTTGCAAAACGGCCTCAGCTCGAAACGGATTTACACCTTTCACACGAATCATCACATCACACACTAGCCTGCAGAGCAGACGTAATTTGGGCGAGCGAGTGCTCAGTATGTGACCGCCACCTTTTATTTAAATGGCAGCGGAAGGCTGGATGGAGAAAGTAATTTGTACCAAGGGGGTGAGCATAGTTAGTTAGTAACCTTCCACTCTGACCCCAAATCAAAAATAGCGTTCGGATAAACGATCACAAGCTTATAACGTTAACTCGCCCGAATAAGACGCGTGTACTGCAGGCTAATCACAGTACAGTCTGACCTGCATGGTTTGGCACTGACCAAATCTGCACCAAGTTCTACGACAAAAGACTGCGTGACAAAATATTCCATGACTGAACACGGAAAAACATATGCAAATTTCTTTACGGAAGCCTAAATAATAGCGTACTTTATCAAAAGGGTTTTTCAATATGAATGAGCAAACAAACAAAAGACTTTTCACGATATAAAAGCAAAATATATTTCAAATAATCTGAGGATGGAACGAGTAGAAATTTCTCACCTTACTTCGCCCGATGAAGAATTATATGTGCTTAAGTAAAACCCAGACAGACCTCTATTCAACTCGGAGTGGAATTCGATGGACAAAGAGTAATTCTTGCCTCGTTCAAGTTTGCTGTTCAGCATAATGCAGATCATTTCCCCTGAAAGTCGAGAGATTTTCGTAATTCCCATAGGTTTTGAATTTTTCTTCTCAATCCTGTCTGGAACAAATGATACTTGAACATTGGAATAATGAAGTTTCTTTCCAGCGTGAAGTGTGATATTGTTCGCGACTTCATTGCAGTAAAGCAAAACATCAACTTTTCCTGAGAATTTAAAAGTTGTCAGATTAGGATGTAAATACACACGATAGTCTATCGGCGATAGATGTCTTGGCAGCCTCAATGAAAGAGTGTCGGCGTGATGATTGAGCGCTTTGTTGGTTGAACCCGGCCGAATGTAGACAGCTAGAAGCACAATAACAAGAACCAGTACAAATGAAACGACACCAATGATCGCTGCCCTTTTTGGATTAAGTTTGGAGCACCAGGGTATCCCTTTTCTCTCAGATTCGTCACCTTCCCTGGGCAAAAGTGAAACTGAAATGTCGTCTTTAAATTCCTCGTCAAATTCTGAGGAGTAAAGGCCATCTTCCTGGTCCGCCATCTTGCATATAAATGTCGCTAACATTAATTTATGCAAGCATGGTTATCCAGTTGTTCCCAGACTCAACTCTCCTTCTGGAGAATAGCCAACGCCTCACACTGGACAAAAGTGGTCGAGAATAATTTTGTCGGCCGGGAAATAATTTTGTCTTTCGAGATATATGTTTCATGGTCCAGAAATATTTTTGACGATTGAGAAAACTTTTTCATTGGTCGAGAAATAACTCCCTCTGACGAGAAATGTTTGTGGTATGTTCATAAATATTTTAAAGAATCGAGAAAACTTTTTCATGGGTCAAACAATTTTTTCACTGGTTGAGAATTTTTGGTAGATCGAGAAATAGTTTTGTTGATCGAGAGTTTTTTCGCCGATCGAGAATTTTTTTCGCCGATCGAGAAATTTTTTTGCCGATCGAGAATTTTTTTTGCCGATGGAGAATTTTTTTGTCGATCGAGAATTTTTTGTCGATCTAGAATTTTTTTTGTCTATCGAGAAATTTTTGTCGATCGAGAATTTTTTGCCAATCCAGTATTTTTTGCTGATCGAGAAATATTTGGCGCGCGAGAATTTTCCTGAAGGTCGAGAATTTTTTTTTGTCGGTCGAGAATTGTTCTGTCAATCGAGCTGGTCAGCGGGCGTTTCGCGCCAAAATATAATCACATGGGACATCACATGGTACTAACGAAAATGGCAGATTGTTTACCCAAAAAGTAAAAAGTTGCGGGCGTTCTGAAGTATCATTGTAACAATGTTTGTACAGCTAGCAGCTGCTTACTGTTGTTGTATTGTTATGGAATTTTAAATCGGTGAGAGGTAACGATGAAGACTTTAGAGAACTTCTTTTTGTCTCTTCACGACTTTGTTTCGCAAATAGAACACAACAGAGACTAATAACTCCTGTAATAATCACAGAAAAGTCAATGAATGTAGTGATATTTTGCAGAGAGTTGTAAAACAAAATTACATCACAAAGGAAAAAAGAAAGTGGTCAAATCTAAGACTGACCGACCTGAAATTAATGAATTTTATCGCGAAATGCTCAAATGATGGCACGCGAACCTCTTCAAAGTGCAGAATATTCATTTCTGTCTAATTTGTTTCAATGTCACTCAAACGTCAGTAATTGTGTGAACTGTAAAATATGGCTTAGCAAGGTATAAATAAAAGAAAATATCTTTTACGCTAATACAAAATCACGAGCGGAAACAGAGTACGTGTTCATTTTATTCAATTTTGCAAGTGTAACATACTCTACCTTTATAGAGCTTTCATCATGAAGAAAACATTGCGCAAGCTCGGATTTCATAATAATAATAATAGTAATAATAATAATAATAATAATAATAATAGGAAATCGACCCGAGATGACCTCCTTCCGACGGATTTCGGCGAACGCTTTCCCGTGTGTATATTTCCCAGCATTTTGTTTCCCAAATCTTGCTGAAGCTTCCAGAGGGAATGAAGAAGATATTGAAACATTTCCTTCAATTCCTGATAGCTTTGAGAGTTGGCGAGAACAAGCGAAATAGCAACGACAATTTGGACTTGGCCCTCCAAGCGGTCGTTCAGGTACTTGACTCGATCGGCAAAAAAAATTTTCGATCGGCGAAAAAAATTCTCGATCAGCGAAAAAACTCTCGATCGACAAAATTATTTCTCGATCTACCAAAAAATTCTCAACCAGTGAAAAAATTGTTTGACCCATGAAAACTTTTTCTCGATTCTTTAAAATATTTCTGAACTTACCACAAACATTTCCGTTCTTCTCGTCAGAGGGAATTATTTCTCGACCAATGAAAAAGTTTTCCCAATCGTCAAAAATATTTCTGGACCATCGAACATATATCTCGAAAGACCAAATTATTTCTCGGCCGACAAAATTATTCTCGACCAGTATGGCTTTCCACGCCAATAGCGTTTACTTTCAATATTCAGTTTGATGAAAACCACTAAGGTTCGGCGTTCTTCCATCGGAGCGCAAAAAAAGACGGTGCAAATATCGGCAGATTCGAGATGAGAGCAAATAGAATTTTGAGTAAGACAGAAATCTAATTCAAAAGATTTGAATCAGGATAAATAAGCGAGTCTAGGAAAAAAAAACCTTACCAAGTTTGTATGTTCACTATTTTTTCAATTTTTTTTCGACCATGTGCCACATTTTTCGATTTTCACTCGGTCAATTCACAAAGTCACTCTTAATATCTTTTCGATCTCAAGCTCCTGTGCATGAGGGTCCTTGCCGTACCCTCCGTGAGCTACCACCCCGCAGTAAACTTACCTGCATCATTTTCACAGTCAAAGTTAATTTATTTAAACGAGCTATCAGCTCTTAGGTGATACGTGGGTAAATAAAGTATTATTATTATTATTATTATTATTATTATTATTTAGTTCACAGGAATTCCATCTTTAACCTTTAAAATCTTTTGGATTAATGACTGTCTTAAAGCGCAAGGGGGAAAATGATCATTGAAAATTTGCTACGAAATGCGATATTTGGATTTTCAAATGTTGGTGATTTTCAAAAGTTTTCCATGAGCACCAAATTAAAATGAAATGGTGCCGTTTTAGACTTAAACGATACCACTATCCTTCCTGTACAAATTGTAAAATTGATAAGAGCTAGCTTTCTTTTGCGCTTTTCATTAGCAAAGTTCATTTGCCTCTACTCGGGGAACTGATTTCCACCATTTTACGGCTATCGACGTGAATTTTCTGGGATAAAGAAGCACGTCTGGCAAAAAACCTCACCACGTTTGTACGGTTGACTATAAGGTGTCCCTGGCTGAAATATGAGGATAGTCACTTTACGGTCGATGTGCCGCCTCTCACGCGGTCTTGAAAAAAAGTCGCTCTTAAATGCATGAGAGTTACAAGAATACACTTGGTTTAAGTCATGATGTTTCTTCGTTAAAGTTGAACAAACCAGCTCAGCTGAATCGTGGTTTAGGAGTGGCCTGCCTGCCTGACGAAGAATCAACACTGGCCTTACCGATAGATAAGGCGAACACCAAATTTCGGCATATGAAACTCCTTGTTAACAAAAGGTTCTATCATATTTCCGATGGCCACGCCCAATAATAGCTCTCTCACAAAAAAATTAAAATTTGGTAGTTTTTTGCTCACTGTGATTTTCATGAAAAATTTCACAATTGGTTACCACCGGTTTATGAAACGTACCTGTTTATTACATCTTTATCGCACTTTTTTAGTTCGAAAAGCACATAACAAGTCACGGACCTTGGAAGTTTCTTTTAGTAGGTCGAGTCAATTTTTAAGAAATCTGAGCGCGAAAATCAGAACTGCCTGTGAAAACTGGGGAACAGCTTCTCACTGCATGCCGGGATAGCCGTGTTACCGCCAGATTTGAAAACTGTAATAAATTCCCCGCGTTTTGGTGTGCGATTCATAAATATTGATGAACATTTTCTTACGGACCGATGGCCTTCAAGTGTTACCAATAC